TTAAACAGTTTATTGTACACAGAGTTCATTTTTCATGATGCATGATATACATTTCAGGCATTTGACGTACTGATTTCATTATCCATGCTATCTATCTCCGGGATAAAGTATCATACATTTTTAAAGATATATCCCTTGAATAATTACTTACATACGTAATTTGGACAAATTATTATCATACTAACTTGTTCAAGTTCTAGTAATTCTAGTAATTATATAATAGATTATCCACCATTACTGGTACATTCTGTATAAATATATACCTATACATAATATATATATATATATATATATATGTATATATATATATATATATATATATATATATATATATATATATATATATATATATATATATCCCAATTACTAGAACATAGTTGCACCTCTTATTAGCAAGTGGGTTGGTAAGCGCAGCTTTTTTGTGTTATGAATTATTATCAGCACAACGCTGCTACCTATCTTATGTTTCATTAACCGCTGTCGTCTCTTATAACCCTCACGGTATGATACGTGGTAGTGGATTCTAGACGTAATGAGTGACGACATTATATTTATTGGAATAATTCTTTAGAACAATAAATAAAACATAGTGAGAACTAAAACGTAGTCATTACATGTGCACTTGATACGTACATAAATTACTAGTACGAGTATTGTACGTAATTAAACTAAACTCTCCAAGTTCTGACCACTGCCCTTGCGGTTTGTGGCCCTTTAACCGCACAGATAATTAATCCTAAGCTACTTTCAAAGTAATTAAACGTTAACTTTCTAGATTTATTCTAAACTAAAAGCGGAATGACTAAAGATACATATTTATTTTAATATTTTTTTATGATTTGGTTGTTTGATTGCCTTCGCATCACCAGTTTTCAGAGATCACGTACGTAGGTTTACAACAAACCTATTGCTGACTCATTAGTACTGTAGTGTAAACACCTAATCATTCTCAAAACAATACAACAATGTGAGAAAAGACCAAAACCTAAGTATTATTGAGTCATCTGTAAACAAAACTGGATTGCAATGGCGGTATTTATTAGTAACCCCAAGTACGAAGTTAGTGGATGCGCGGATATTTTGTCCTCAAGTAGATGACGTTTTGGGTGCTTTACAGCACATATGTTCACGGTGGTGGGGGGAAACAAAAATTAATATTGAAAAACTGAAGGTCGAGAAATAAAAAGAAATAAATTTAACACGATAGAATCCGTAAAAAATAGTTTTATTTAAAGGCATTCCGTCTTAGTCCTCACTTGTGCGGTCGATCTGACTTACTCGTGCTGTAACCATAATATTAGGTCCTTACATATGAAATTGGCGTTTTTACGGAAGGAATATAAAGTCATTTTTTTTTGTAAAATTTGATTAATTAATCTATGTAAGCACCGTTGTTATCTATGCACTTTTGCCATCTCATAGGTAGTTCATTGATCCCTTTACTAAAAAAACCATGGTGGCGAGAATCAATAAACTCTTTGAAGGTGGTTTGGACTGCCGCATCGAAGTTGAATTTTTTTCCTTGTAAGAAGTTGTCCAAATTCCGGAAAAAATGGTAATCTGTTGGAGCAAGGTCCGGAGAGCACGATAGATGTCGCAGACAATCCCATTGTAGCTCATCTAACTTAGTGGTTATTTGTTGTGCAGTGTGTAGTTTTGGGTTGTCGTGAAGTAGCAGTGGCCTAGAGCGATTGACCAATCTCGGTTGTTTAGCAGCTAGTTCTTTCTTCTTGGTTTGCCATTGTTGCTGACAATAGGTATCTGCCGCAATCGTTTGGCCAGATTTTAGAAAGCTGTAGTGAACGACACCGGCGCTAGTCGACCAAACACTCACAAGTAATTTTTCTGAGTGAATTTTCGTTTAGGGCAGGATTTGGCTGGGTCTCCAGGGTTCAGCCATTGCGACGAGCGCTTCTGATTATCGTACGGTATCCACTTTTCATCACAATTAATGGTTCGGTTTAAAATTCCTTCATTATTGTGTCGGTTGAGCAAAGTAACACAACAGTCGACGCGTGTTTGCTAGTTCGATTCACTTAAATCATGAGGTACTCATCGTTCAAGTTTTTTTACATTCCCGATTTGCCTTAAGTGGATTAATAGAGTTTTATCACTTACCGCGAAGCCTGCTGCAGGCTTCGCTTCGCTATCTCTGAAGTGCTTTGTGATGGATCCGCTTCCACAATAGCCTTTAATTTTTCATTTTCCACTTTGGTTTCCGGCCGTCAACGGGGTTGGTTCTGAAGGTCAAATTTCCAGAACGAAGACGTTGAAACCAAAATCATACCGTGCTTTCTTTTGCGACACCAATGCCGTACACATCATGAATCCTTCGAACTGTTTCTGCAGCACTGGTGCCACGGTATAACTCATGCTCGTAAATATACCGATATTTCATTTTTCCATTGTGCGGTAATAAGCGACGCCAAAGAAAAAAATAATGAGGAATAAACAAATTCATGACTGATTTCAAAACTCAAATGTACCAGCTAAATGAATTTATAAATTTGAATCTGGAATTATTAATCAAAGAGGAGATATTTCAGATCAAAGTGAATACAGTTCGACAAAACTCTAATTTCATACGTAAGGACCTAATATAGCTGCAGCGTGGCTCTACCTCATTAAAAGTTGTATTGCTGAGGACCGTGGGTTTCAAGCGCGCATGAAAAGGTGTATCTGAGCTACTAATATTCCTGTGGGTCTGGATATGGGTTCTTAAGCAGTTTAAATAATTATGTAAAACGCCTCTACGATACAAGTTAAATACAACCCTAGGGTTAAGTTTAAAAGATAAGACACCTCTTTATTAGAACCCGATATTTAATAATCTAAATTATGCCATGTGTTTCATAAGGGAAAACTACGAAAAGACAGAAAGATATAATGGCTTCTGACAGACGGCGGCTTAACTATCCCATTTCCGCAAGATGTAAAACACCCAAACCGGCAACAGGCAGCGACGTAAAATAATCGCCAAGCTTTCTGATAAGGGCGGCGATTATGGCTAATCTAAGGACTAAGATGAAATACCTCGTGTACAGGAAAAAGGGTTTCCGGTTCTCTACACTCAAAATACGAAAAACAGCAGCATTAAGTGGTCTAGCCGAGCCATTCGTAATACAAGCATAATATAGCTGCAACATGGCTCTACCACGTTAGTAAACACGTTTTACCTTCTTGAACAATATTTGTGTTCCAGATCAGATTCCTGATTGGCCTGCAGGCCAGATGCCTAGTTGATATAGTGGTAAAAAACTCGACTGCTGATTACGAGATCTCGGGTTCGAATTCCGGAATAGGTCAATGAAAATTAGCTGTCAAAAAATTCTCAGTAGCAGCCCGGAATCGGGAAGTTGGCGGTGTTTCCCCATGCCTCGAAAAGCACGTAAAGCCGTTAGTCTTACGCCCGATCTTTCTCCGGTCATGTCAGCATGCAGTCCCGTCAGACTATAAAAGTGAACTTGTGCTTGCGCGTAGACGTGCCACTATAACCCTGTCCTGCGCAAATGGCCAGTCTCCGTTGAGACTGGTTGCCATGACCGAAATACGGTCTGGAGGACATTATTATTTTATTACAAATAATAAAAAATAAGTTAATTAAAAATAAATTTACGAGGTTATTATATATATAATATTGTAAATATTTCATAACAAATTAAGGAAAAATAAATGTTTTACGAGTATACCAAGAAAGATTACAACCCAATTTAGCCTCGCTACTAAAAGGCGAATAATATAATAAGACAGGTCTCGAAGAAGAGGCGGTGTCATCAAATGATGCATATACAGCGCCCCAAAAATATCTTCTCGTAGCCACGGGGGAGCATTTTGTGCCAGCTCCTATTCGTTATTTACAAAATTAAAGATATTTATGTACCTCCTAAATCCATGTTGTTAGCTTTAGACGTTGATAATATTTTGATAAATGTCGCATCCCATGACTGTTTGCGTATACTTGCAGATCTCTTTAAAAAAACGTAGTCTACATCCCGGGGAAACAAACGATCTTCTTAACATAACCTCTCTCTTTATGAAGCAAAACTATTTCTCGTTTAATAACAGTTTCTATCTACAAACAGAAGGGTGTGCTATGAGGTCTACTCTAAGTCCTCTTATGGCGGACGTTTTCATGGATAATTTTGAAAAACAACATATTATAATTGTCTATCAAAATATCTTATACTATTATAGATGTGTAGACGACATAATTATTTGCTGGACTAGTACAAGGAGACATTTGGATGTTTTCCTTAATAAAATATATAGAGTCGACGATAAAATTAAATGTAAGCTGGAATTGGAATGAGATTGTTCACATAATTTCCTCGACGACAAAAAACGAGTCAACGTATATTTTCCAAATTTATTGAAAGCCAACTCAAAGCAACACAGTCATCCCCGAGTCATTGTGTCATCCGTGGCAACATAAATTTGCCGCTTTTTATTGTTATATTAATCGTTTGTTCACTGTCCCATTAAATAAAAAAAATTAGTTAAAAGAGCTTAGAGTTTTTAAAAATATCACTAACTGGGGTGTAAGGGGCTCCGCTAAGATCTTGGAGCCCAAGCCAACCCCGCCTGCACGTGGCGCACCTGCTGGACAACGGAAAGGGCTCTGGCGATGCCACTCTTCTGGGATTCGTCCTAGGGGTTCGGGGGTCAGACGGCAGTCGCCCTGGTAATTGGCACTAAGCCACTCAAAAATGGACGGTAAAAGAAAGATAAATACGTTTAGGACTAGGGCGTCGCCGCATAACGACGCGCATGGGGATCGCCTTAACCCTGCGACAAGTATGCGAGGGCTACCGGGCCCCGTGTGAGCCAGGCTAAAGACGTAAGCACCAACTACGAAGATTCGCTTTGCAAACATTGGCACGCTTACGGGATGCTCCGCAGAACTTGCGGCTATACTTGCCAGGCGTAAAGTGGCAGTGGCATTCCTGCAGGAGACACGGTGGAAGGCCAACAGGAGCCGGAATATTGGGCACGGCTACAAGCTGATCTATACAGGCTCCTCTGGTGGAGAGAACGGTGTGGCAGTGGTGCTCGCCGAGCATTTCCACGATAGCTTCTTGGAAGTTAGACGCATATGCGACCGACTTATGGTAGTAAGGTTGCTTATTGAGGAGGTCGTGACCCACTTAATAAGTGCCTACGTCCCACAGGTCGGCTGCAGCGACGCGGATAAAACGCTGTTTTGGGATCGGCTCGAAGATGTACTACGCGGCATACCGTTGTACCACGATGTCGTTTTGGATGGCGACCTGAACGGTCATGTGGGCGAGGTGCAGGGGGAGTATGAACGTGTCCATGGCGGCTATGGTTACGGCCGAAGAAACGCAGAGGGGGAAACCATCCTCAGAACCTGCACTGCAGCTGACCTGGCCGTGGTGAACACGTACTTCAAAAAGAAAACCGAGCACCTGATTACCTTCAGGAGCGGTCGGAACGCCACTCAAATCGACTATCTACTGATCAGGAGAAGTCATATCAGTAGCGTGGCCAACTGTAAGGTCATACCCGGTGAGTGTCTCACTGCCCAACACCGACTTCTTGTCATGGACCTCTGCGTAAAACCCCTTCGCAGACACACCGAACTTTGCCTGCTTTGGTGGCTGCAGGATCAAACCAGATACTCAAAGTTTGAATCTGCCGCTGGGAATATTAGTCTCGACACAGCAGGCAAGTCCGTCCAAGAGTGCTGGAAAACCATTCAGACAGCAATCACAAAGACGGCAAAGCAAGTTCTCGGCGTGGCGAAAGGGGGCCGCAAAATCGACAAGGAGACCACCAGGTCTCCTTGTGGATTTTGCGGCCTGGACTGTAGCGTCCCACCACCAGGTGGGACGCCACAGTCCAGGGTTCATTACGGGAGAAGAAAGCGCTCTTCAAGACGTGGCAAGTGACCAAATCTCCTGAAGATCGCGCATCTTACAAGACAGCGAAAAGAGCTGCCAAGAAAGCTGTAGCCAGAGCCAGGCGTGACCACTTGCAACCATTATATGCTAAGTTGGACACTCCTGAGGGGCACAAGCTCATATATAAACTGGCGCGCTCTAGGGCCAAAGCAGCGCAAGATATTACTCGCTGCTGCAGCGTCAACGGCCCTAATGGCGAGCTCCTGTACGATGATCGTGCGGTGAAGGAGAGATAGCGCTCTTATTTCCACGTTTTGCTGAATACTCAGCACCGGGAAGTGCACCCTCCCGAACAGCTCCCGAACCATGGACTCGTGCCACCGATTACACCTGACGAGGTCCTCGCATCTCTTCGTCACATGGAGAATCGGAAAGCTGTCGGATCGGACGTAGTGTCAATTGAAGCGTGGAAAGCGCTGGGGGCTCGTGGTGTGTGCATTCTTACTAACCTTTATAATAGAATCCTGAGCGACCGAATAATGCCCGATCAGTGGCGGCTTAGTATAATAACGCCGGTCCACAAGGGTAAAGGGTCCGTTCAGGATTGCAGTAATTACCGCGGTATAAAGGTGATGTCACACACCATGAAGCTCTTCGAGCGCATTATTGACACCAGGATCCGACAGAAGTGTACAGTGTCGGACTTCCAGTACGGTTTACAACCAGGACGCGATACCATGGACCCTATATTCGCCCTAAGGATCCTCATGGAGAAGCACAGGGAAAAGAATATGCCTCTGCATTTTTTATTCCTAGACCTGCAGAAGGCCTTTGACTGTGTTCCTAGGGAGATGATCTGGTGGGCGTTGCGGTCGAATTTGGTACCAGAGACCTATGTAGAAATCGTACGTGACATGTACCGCAACTCCGATTCAATAGTCAGGACCGGTGTTGGTGATACCAGCCCCTTCCCCATAACCATAGGTGTGCATCAGGGCTCTGCCTTAAGCCCCTATCTCTTCAGTGTGATATTAGACGAACTGTCAGCCAGCGTACAGAAACTGCCGCAGCCTTGGCTGCTTATGTACGCTGATGATATCGCACTGGTAGATGGGGACAAAGGACGGCTCACCAGACGCGTGCACGCATGGAGGGAGGCGCTTGAGAACGGCGGGCTGAAGCTAAATATGGTGAAGACGGAGTATATGGCCTGCAACAGCACAGATCTGACGTCTCTCCGTATAGGCGACGACACCGTCGAGCGCACGGACAACTTCAGGTACCTCGGATCTGTGCTTGATGCGTCCGGGACATCGATCGCGACATCAAGGCCCGTATATCAGCGGCTTGGGCGAAATGGCGCGAGGTGACGGGTGTCATTTGTGACCCCAAAATGCCGGTCAAGCTGAAGGGACAGATCTATAAGAACATCATAAGGCCTGTCCTTACGTACGGCAGTGAGGCATGGCCGGTGCTGGAGCGACACCGGCAGTTGTTGCATGTCACGGAGATGAACATGCTGCGGTGGATGTGTGGCGTCACGCGGAAAGACCGTGTACGGAATACATACGAGTACATCCGCGGCAGCCTCCATGTCCGTGACATTACTGACAAGCTGCAGGAAAGTCGCCTCCGCTGGTACGGCCACGTCTTACGACGACCAGCAAGCTACGTGGGAAACAAATGCCTGAACATGACCTTACCTGGCACCAGGAGTAGAGGACGGCCCAAGAAACGCTGGCTTTATGTCGTGAAACATGACATGCGCGCCAATGGACTAGTTGTGAGGGACGCCGAAGACCGGGCAAAGTGGAGGAGGAAGTGTTGGAAAGCGAACCCTGGGTTCTCCCGCGCTGGGCGGGATGAGCAACCGAGATAAACGCTAGGTAGAAGAAGAAGAAGAAGACTAACAAAATTAATTAAAAAGAAAGAAAAGCATGTTCGCAATTCTCTGTACGCGGTAAATCTCAGTGTTCGTCCTCAAAGTGGCTCCACATCTGAAAAAATTGCTAATACTTTTCAACAGGGCGGCGTTTACGTGGCGTTCAAAACAAACATTTCTCTTAGGAATACCTGAATTAATAAAGATAAATTGGATATTCGTCAAAGGTCAGGTGTTTAAAAATTTGTTTATGGCGAACGCCACGCCATTTATGTGGGTCAGACAAGTCGCAACTTGGAGATACGTTATAAAAAGTATTTAGCAGCGTACAGGAATTGCGACCCCGATATATCCCTTTTTGCCAAACATCTCTTGGATATTGGACGTAACCTAGCCAACAACCACTCCTTTAAAGTCTTACATACTTTAATAAAGATCTGCGACTGTGTGTGCTAGAACGGTTAGAGATAAAAAAAAATAATAGTAATATTGCACTGCTGAGTGAACAAACAAATGTTTCAAACTCAGCTCACTTAAACATCTTTAAGCCTGCTCTCTAATATCAGACTGCCTCGCAATACGGTTGTTCGTCACCTTCACGGTGATCAGCAATTGGTTTCGTGGTTGGAGGGTAGGCGGGCGAATAGCAGCTGTTTGTTATTAATTTAATAGCAGGCGGGTACGCACATCAGGTGGTGATTGGTTACATGTTTTATCGCTTGACGCGGTCGCTCGCTACTTAAGTGAGGAGCGGTTGCGTCGTCAAGTTGTATAAATAGCATCTGTTTTGGCTCGCCGCTCACATAGAGGTCAGTCACCGCAGAGTCTACTACACCTGAGAATGCCTCGTGTGGGGATGAAAGACGTGTTATATTGTCGTTAGTAGTGTGTCTTTCCTAGTGTAGTGGTTGTGGGAGTAGTGGTGACGGGGATAGTGTACGCAATTGAGGGAGGGTGGGAGATGCTCTTTAAACTAGGTACGACACATCATTTTATTTTATTGAGCGGATATGGGCAAAGAAAAATGTTTGAACTATAATATAATGAAAAACTCACTTTGCGCTGGACATTGTCGACCAATCGAAAAATGTATCAATATAAAGACCTTGTTAAACTAATGACGCATCGTTCACCGACCAATCGATGAATGATGCTACATCCGATAAGTGTGCAGTACTACTTATTAAAAAATAACAAGTAGTAAAATTAAAAATTTTGTACAAATGACTTCAATATAAATAAAATGAAAACATCGTTAATGTAGTCAAACTCAATTAAATAACACGTGCGGTGAAGTTCCTAAAAGAACTCCATCCGCGGCTGGTTGTTGCTGCTAGTGATAAGAGGGCTGGTTCTTTTCTGGCTCAAAGGCTAAATATAGCCATTCAGCGGGGAAACGCAGCCAGCGTTCTTGACACGACACCGCGGGGAGTAGGACTACATAATAATAAAGTTTCTAGTTTTAGTTTTTTTTTATTAGTATAGTTTTTAATATTGTATATTAAATAAGCATTCATCCATAATGGATAACCCAAAAAGTACTGGTCAGATCTTAAGTATCAAATGACCTTCTCCCTTTTTTGAAGTCTGTTAAAAAGTGGAATGATGACACTAAAGCGCTATATTTAGTACCATTAATATAATTGTAGCGGCTTTTTATATGTAGGACGCTATAGTATAAAACGCTCAGGTACCTCGTGTGGCTTCGCTTGCTAATTCCAGAACCTGATGACTTGCATCTTAGTCCCTTTCCTAATCTGGATAATAACTTTGTCGATATATTATTCCGGTCGTCGCTTTATAGCACTCAAAAAGTAAGATGAAAACATGAATCTATTTTTCTTATCCACTCTTATTTGAGGATTTTTGTTATAATTTAAAAAAATTGTATAACCGAATTCAATATAAATGATTAAAAATAACTCAAAAACGATTGATCAGACCGCGATCAAATTTATAAAGGACCACATGAGAAGCAAAAAAAAAAAAAGAATCATGGAAATCGGTCACTCAGAATAAAGTTATAAGATAACACACATAAAAGAAACATATAGTAGAATTGAGTACCTTTTTTCCTTTTTGAAGTTGGGAGAAAAATAAAACGTGATCCAAGCCTGAACATTTGCTGTAGCGTAATCGCTACGAGTTTGATACACTTGGATTTTAATCTTGTTGTGCCGCGTCGACCTATATAAAATATATAAAATAATGACTAAACAGAAAACTTCTTTTAAGTTTCTCCAGACGTGTACTTAATTGAGTTTGAGTGTCATTATTCGCGTAAACAGTGTCTGAAGACTTTTGCACTTGCTCTAGGAAATAATAAATATAACTAGGCATAAAAAAAACTGCCCTTAACGATTTAAGGGGGAAAATTGATCTTAATTATTATTTGTATAAAAATAATTTACCCTATTTCTTAAATAAGCATCTTATAGTTAATAATATATTATAAACAAATTCCGTAATACGTAAAATACATAATAATTTGAATACACATAAATTTGACTCTACCACGTGTAAAACAAATCTTAGTGTCAATATTGAATAAACAAAAACACAGACGTAAGAGCACTCACTCATCTACGATATGTATCACATGCACACGTACTCCTTTATGCAATGCGCCTTAACCTATAGCGTGAATTTTTTGAATACCAGCGTAATGGCAGTTTGACACTGCTGTGTTTCGTATGGTGAGTGTAGAGAACCGAAGAACCATTTTACTGGAAAAGAGGCATCCATCTTAGTCCTAACAGGTGACGATGCATTTGCGTCTTGATTTTTTATTGAGGATAAATGTAGATGTCTATGGGTCACAGCAACCATTTACCATCAGGTGTACTGTGTGCTCGTTTGTCACCCTATCCTATAAAAAATTATTATTGTTACTATATTTCTAAAGAATTAGCGATCCGCTCCGGCTTTGCATGGGTGATTTCTGGACATTTCTTGACAACAGCGCTACCTCCCGGGTCCAATTCTGAATCGTTTAGATCATCCAGGGACCCACTCCACCGCACACAAAAATTTCATCAAAATCGGTCCAGCCATTGTCGATTTTTTGCGAGACTAACGGACAAATTGATTTTGTATATTAAGATTATTATTACGTAATATTCATGCAAAATGTATCATAAGTACTTTGAAAGGGAGAGAAGACTCCAAACAGAAGTTGTTGTAGAACACAAGGTAGAACAGAAGGTGAATAAAATTAGAAGTGAAAAATAAAAATACTAGGTGTATACCTAGTATTAGTACGACCTTAGTACGACCAAACCTTGTATCAGTTTCTTTGTACAAATTAAATCTAAATGACGAGAAATAAACAAAATTATGCGGACAGGTGAATCCTATGTGAAATTCGTAAATACACATTGATGTTGAACGTCCTGCTCCTAATTCTTCTCAATA